GCGGCTGACATTGTTAGCACAAGACAGTGCATTTATGTTCTAAATTGTTTAAATAAAAAGGTTGTTTAAACATTTCCTGGAGACGTTACTTTCAGACACAGCGATAATTCGTTTCACGTCTGTTTGGGTTTTGGATTCATAACCAATTTCAGATCAAGTAAAATCCCATAAATTTGGCTAGTATGATTTTTTTCCGTTTACGTAATTCAATACTAAAAGCATACTTAATAAAGCTATTTGATTAATAACTGTGGATGACCCAGTTCAGTACTATAAAACTAAAAGAAGGGTCATTATTTTAATTATTTTGCACTACATCTGTGCTTGGTTTTTACATGGCACCTTTTGAAAGCTAAAAAATCTGTCGCTGGAAGTCTTTTGTGATGTTCAGCCGTCAACAGACATTTAAAGTTAATGATATGCATTTTCTGTTTCTTCAAATATGTAATTATTATCAAGAGAGATTCCTTTTGTAAAAATATGTTGGGACAGGACCATGTCCATGTTTATTGATTTAAGAAGAAATTAGTATTTTCCCCATTTTTTTATATTTTCACTAGCGGCGAAAATTTATGGAGTATTCTTTTTTAAAGAACATTATTCCAATCAGTTTGCCGTTATTATTTATTTGGTTTTCTTCATCTACTTGCAAGATATAATATTAATTATTTCATATTTAGGGTACTGGCACTGTTATTCTCGGGTATTTCTTTTGCCAGTTTGCCTGCATATTCGTTGCTGGAGATGAACGCGTACGTTTTTAGCTCAAAGGAGCGTTAGCCCCGAAGTGCTTTTTGTCTGAAACGGGATTTGCGTTGAATCACTATAAAAGTTTGAGTCACTTTTCAAATTGTTGTCACCAAATATTATTGCCCCGTATTTTATTCAAAGAAATTAAATAATGAAGAATCTGCATAAATGTATGTATATTTTTCGCACTGTGAAAAACGACAATACTTAGAACCATCAATTTTGAATTACGCTTCTTCACACGAAAGTGAGCCCCTGGAAACTCGAATTTTGAATTTGAATGATTTTATTATCTATTTCATATTTTGTAATTTTTAAGTAATTTTGGTTAACAAATTCAACGATTTCAAAGCGAGCAGTGGGAACATTTGTACAGGAAAAAAAAAAAAAAAAAAAAACATTTTATCTCCAGCGCTCGAGACCGTGTATCGAAATTAAAAGTATGCTCTTTTTAAATTTTTTCTAATACTGGTGTTGAATGAATTATGGTTAAGTATGAAGAACATGGTATTTAATAAGCAAAGGTAACACGCAAAACGTTAAAAAAAAAAAAAAAAAAAAAAAAAACGCTCTTTGGGTGTAATATAAAATTTAAAAGCTTTCATTTTTTTTTTTTTTTTTTTTTTACTTAGGTAGTTATTTATCACTTACTTATCTATCCGTTTAAGAGCTATGTATGGACGTAAATTTCCCTACAGAAGGATATCCTTCGAATTCGTTGTACATAAAAATTTCTCTCGACTCCTGATCTATCCAGAATTGGATGTATAGTGGAAGAAAAAAAACCCAAAGTATAAAGTGAGAGAGACAATTTGAAATTATAATCAAGAAAATGCTGCTTACTCATCACATTTTGGTAAACTTTGAAATTTCAGAGAATCTTCAGTTAAGACAGCGAATCTGGAAAATTTTGAGCTTGGAATAAATAGGCTAGACATCTATGTACAAAATTTCTTTGTCTGTCACCTTCCTCAATTCATTACACATAGAGTGGTGAACATTAAATAGCAAGATGACTTGGTGACCGCTACAAACTTAAATAGCAAGATGACGATGGTGACCGCTTGTAGTAGTTTTATATTTTTCTGAAATAACAGTATGCACACAGGCATTTATTGCAGTGTATAATATAGAGAGACGATACAGTGAACCTAAAAATAATGTCTTATTTCTGCTTGGGTGCATTGCTGGAAGCGATACGGAAAGGCTTAGTGACGCATCTCACCAAGTTACGTAGAACAGAATTTACGTCAGGGCTGATGGCAGTCTTCAGTTCGTCACTTGTCTGCAGACAATATGCGAAGACCTAATCCTAGAAGAAGTAGTCCGGAGTTGTAATGCTGGGTTGCATATGCATTGGAAAAGTAATATATTTATGTTAATGCTCAGAACAAAAGTTAAATATATATGATAAAATTTAAAATGAGGTATTTCAGCAGTCCCCCCCCCCATTTTTATGGCCAATTTTTAAATGCCACCAAGAGTAGGGATAAATTGCCATTGACAGTCCTGATGTAATTAACATAAATTTAGCAAAATAAAGAGCATTTGCTATTTGTTTAGCTCACTACAGAGGCATGCAAAAAAAAATAAATAAATGGGTAAAAAAGTAATAGATTAGTTTTGAATCAATTTTAAGATATATATCTTGCAGTTCTGAAGATGATTAGTGTTCTGTGTGATGCTGCTTACTTTGTTATCTGGTTTCGATAATATTGTATTCACTATTGTTTATGGATCTTACATTTGAAAGCTGGATTGGCATTTACACCAATAACAATCACTTGGTTAGTTTATGCAACATGAAAAGGCTATGTGTTAGACCATGTGTTAATCAGTTTTCTTTTTAAAAATATGTTAATAGTAATTTTCTACTTACTGACCACAAAAGAAGATAAGAATTGTGAGTCGATTGTGTTTTGATGCATTTTCTTTTCCTTCTTAAATATTAGCAATTTCTGATTTAACAAGGATTGAGGAAAATGCTATATCATTAACCCAAGAAAGAGCCATTTAATTATGCATTCGAATACATGAAAATGGCCACAAAATGAAACTATACACAAAAGAAAGCATTTGGTAGTACAGTGTATAAAGTTTTAAGCAAAAGTTTTAAGAAAAGCTTGTGTTCTGACAATTAATTCAGTAGCTCCAGAATATCATTTTAACAGGGCTACAGTTTATTTCCTTTGGGGCAGAGGAATTGATGTCGATTAAATGGTTTGAAAAACAACTAAATTTTCCCAAAATATAACAGAATAATGTAGAGATAAATCATAGAGAAGAGAGGAAAATATGCAGTATGAGTATATTGGGCTTTAATGTATTTTATTAATATATATATATATATATATATATATATATAAAGCAGCTTTTGGTTTACTGACAGCTGAAGAAGATGATTTCATTTCAGACAAATTTAATGATAATATTTGTACTCTTATGATAATGGGAGCTGTGAAAATAGGAAACACTTTTTATTGCAAAATTTTTAGTTGTATTTAGTAAAATCATTAGCCATCTGTTTTGTTGAGAATATTTATAGGTGCTCCTTTTGTCATTTTAAATTTTTTTTCCTGTGAAAAATTATATGTTATTATGTAACAACTCAAATATACTAGTAATATGCCTAGCTTGAATATGAATAGTTAATGATATTTTGCATTTTGTGTTTAATACCAAAATTTTTCATGTATTTTATGAGACTGAATAACATTTTCTCATTTCTCCATGCTAATCTGTCTGAATGTATTAAGCTTTATTTATAACAGATTTTGCGCTTCAGATTCACCTGTTAGTAAATCAAGTTCAGTATTTAACAAATCAAGCTCTCTCCCCCCCTCTTTTTTCCTTTTTCTGTAAAAGGAAATGTGAAATGAGGTGTAAATTTATTATTAAGAGATTCAGATATTTATAAATTACAATAATGTACACTAAAAGTACTTAGATGGGATGCTTTCATAAGGGTGCTCCATCATATAAATGCCTGCACGCTAGTCAGCTTAAAGTTTGAAATGACAGGAATCTACATGATTGTATCTTTTCATGCAGGTACTGTATGCTCATAAAAATCAATTTTCAACATGGAAAAAAAAGGGGTTGACCTTTATAAGAATGTGTGCACTCTATGCCGCAGCATCCTTATGAAGGCTTCTGCCTTCATGATTAGTGGTCAGCCTCCATAAGTATGTGGGCACCTTTATGAAAAAGTCCTGTTTAATCCTTTATGCATTCATACCTAATGTACTAATTCTCCTTAAGTAGCTTCTGGTATTTTTTGGATGTATTTACGCATTTACTGTAACTTTTGCAGTAGTTACAATGGTGTTATTAATTACATTTATTGATTATTAGTCATCTGAAGGATCATCTAACACATTTCTTGCTGATAACTGTATTTTTGAAAAGTCTTCTTCAGTAGGATTTTTCTTAATTGTATGGTGGTAAAAAAGTGCATGTTTCCTACATCTTATGAAAACTTACATTGCTGAACTAAATTCTAAACTTTCTGCACCTTATCATTTTCCATCTTCTGAAAAGTTATTTCAAAAAAAGTTTTAAAACAAATTAATCATGGAATGTGTTTTTACATCATAACATGTTCATAGCCATAATTACTAAATCATTTCATCCTTTAGCCTGTGGCATAGTCTCATGAGCCAATATTTTATCATTTGATTGCATTTTTGTCTGGTGAAAAATGACAACTGAATCCTGATTTGTCACTGAGTATTACGTATTGCTGTTCTGGAGCATCGTAAGAAACGTGTACCAAGTTCTTTGAGAATTTCAGTCAACTTGTATTAATGCACATTTTAATGTGATTTATAGTCATTTCAGTGTATCCCTAATGAAACATTAATTTTCCATTAAGAACTTTACCTGTTTACATTCTAGAATATTCTAGACTTTAAAATTATTGATGTTTTTGGTATTATTCGGTTTTGAGAGCTGTAAAAAATCGCCGAACTATTGTTGATGCCAAAAATAATTGCAGCAACCCTAATGCAATAAAGAAAGTATAATAGTAAATAACTATCTAAGATTGATGTTTTAATTTAGATGGAAGGGTAATTTCATGTAATACCTTTTTATTATAATAATTTATATAAAAATGGCTGAACATGACTGAATGGAAGCATAAGAGTAAATAACTATTTCAGGTCATTATTATAATTTATATTAAAAAAAGCTAAACATAATTGAATGGATGCCTGCATCGTAGTTTCACTATTGAGTTATCGCTAAAGCATAATTTCACCTCGTTAGTTGTTCAAACATAGTTTTCTATAATGAATGATGCCTTTTCTTTGACAAAATTATCGGTAAAGTGCAGAATCGCCCATTTATTTGTTTGCCAGTTTTTACAAGGGTAAAAGCAATTGGATTTTTTGTCAATTTTCTTTTACTTTTTAAGTGAAAATAGGTCGATGTGTACATAGATAAAGTCAAGGGTGTACGTAATGCCATTTTTGTGCAATTCTGTTTTTTCCCCCCTTTCCTTTTTTAAGTGAAAATAGGTCGATAAGTACATGGATACTGAGTATATTCAATTCTTAAAAACGTGTCAAGCATTGGGTGATTCTGTACTTTACCCAAATTCTATTGCAGATTTTTCGTCATGGGCAATTCCCAAATTGTTAAATCCATAAGATATTAAAAAAGGATTTAAAAATTAAACTAGTATTTCAATGGCATCTTAAGAAATATAGAACTATCTAAACTTACGCAATCTGAAATCAGTGCATATGCTATGTTTGGCGCGCTGTGAAATGGCCGCGTTTCCTAGATTTGACACTTTTGCGCATACATTTTCGCTGCAATTTTTTTACGATCCTCAAAACGGAATAGTACCATGTTTTTTAATCAATTATTTACTCAGTTTTGTTTAATCATGCTGTACTTCACATTCCTTTTGTGCCTAAATTTTTTTTTTTGCTGTTAGCATATTAGCATTTTTGTTATATTTATAATACACTTTGCAATGTTTTTAATTGATACTAGTGATTTCACATAATTTATTGATTTTTTTTTGTCATCATAGAATTTTATTAGGATATTATATTTATTTATTTATTTTAATCAGACTAGCATGGTAGTATGCAAATGGAATATGTAGAATAGCAGGGTTAACTTCATCTCAATCAAATAAAATGTAAATCACTAGTCAAAATTCATTTCTTCATTTCACTATTACTTCTCCTAATAAGGGAGAGGAGTCTCACAGTCTCACATATCAAGTAAATTTGATTTGCGAAAAGTTTAATTTTATATGTGAAAGCATTAACGAACAAGAGAAATGTATGATTTTGCTAATTATTAAGTAATACTCTGAAATTTTTGTGTCTGTACTGTTTGGCGTTTCTCATGTTTTAGAAAATGCTGTATTTGAAAGCCATAAAAATTTAGTGTTATGTTTATTTTTTATTTCCAGTGTCTTTATTTTTTATCTGAAATTAATTTAACTTGGTTTTTGTGAGGAATAAATTTTTCTTTATAATTCGTGTGACCAAAGAAATTGAAAGAGGCTTACATTTTCGTTTTCATTCAGAACACATAATATGTACCCAAATGAAAAGGAGACCTTAGTTGTAGCAGCTTTGTATCAAATCCCAATGAGTTATTGTGTTAGCCAACAGATGGCTTAGTGGTATTCTCAGTTGTTTAGTTAATGACTTCACATCAGTATCCTCATTTTTGGAGAGTTTCGTCCCCAGTTCATTTCATGATGGATTCCTTATGATCAGCATAAAGAGCAGTTATTCACTCGCACCATATTCCAGTGGTATCACTGTTATGAGATGGGATGCATAAGGATAAAGGAATTGCCATGCTTCGAACAGACACTTATTGTGCACAACTGTGCTATATTAGCAGTGGAGGAGTTCATATGGCAGAATCACGGTATCACAACATATGAAATTGCTATTGCACTTTCAATAAGCAAAGGAACTGTGCCTCACATAATCCACAAAAAGCTTGTTTATGGCAAAGTTTGCACAGTGGATGCCCAAGCATCTGTCAGACTCAGAAGACAGTGAGAATGAGTATTTTCCTGCCCCATCTGTTGAGGTTTGCAGAGCAAGGAACGGATTTCATTGACACGATTATGGCATGTAATGAAACTTGATGTCACCACTTTGATCCTGCCTCCAAACAAATGAGAACGGAGTGGCGACATCCTTTCTTCTCTCATCCAGAAAAAGCGCTCTGTGCCCAGAATACCAAAAAAGTTATGTTCAGTTTCTTTTTTGAAGAAAAACCTCTACTCATTGACTCGCTGCAATGGGGTGCAACAGTTAATGTTGAGCAATATTGCAACATGTTGTTGAGGCTCAAATTGACCATCGCTGCAGCTCAAACAGACCATCAAGAACAAGCATAGAAACAAGCTCTCGAATGGGGTAGAGCAGGCATGGGCAAACTGTGGCCCGTGGGCCAACTCCGGCCTTCCGGAAGATTCTCTCTGGCCAGTGGATAGCAGGGTTCGTATGGTTCTTAAGAGTCCTTAAAAGTCCTTAGATTTTTTGGAATTGATTTTTGGTCCTTTAAAGTCCTTAATTTTAGCCAAAATCAGCAAAAGATCCTTAATTTTAATCATCTGAAATTTCTATCTGTTTTTACAACTGCCATTTTGAGTGTGAATTAGCATTTTGGGAATATTTTTGGCGATTCGCTGATATATATAGTTATCTTTTAAATGGGTTCATGAGTTATAATTTGTTTCTATTTCTAATATAAATGATGGGATACTCAGAAGGTTCTAAGCAAAAAGTGAAACATAAGCATAGCAAAATTAATTTTCAACACTTGCCACCCTTACCTGCATCAGGCCTTTCAGGTTCGTTCTAATCAGCAGGTCTCTCTCTAGACAAGCAGTAGCGGTGACAACATTCAGTCTTTTGTTATGAATCATGCTGATTATGATTTTATTTCTTATTTTAAATTTTCAGTTTGACGTAAAATCTACCTGCTATTTACTAAACTTCTAGACTGACCAAGTATGTGACAAAATGAGACACAAAAAAAATTAACATAAAGCTAAATGTTGGATAAAACGTAAATGTCACTTATCTTCTTTCAAATATGTACAACTATTATAAATGTAAAATATTTCATGTAACTTGATAAATTGCATAATGTTTATTTTATTCTCAAACTTATTAATAATTATGTTAAATAATTCATGTTTACTAATAATGCATACTACTTAGGGATCTATTTTATTTTTAGGATGGTATTAAAAAGTGAAATTCAGGCATAGATAATATTTTTAGTTAAATTTATTCAGTTCCCATTTGCTCATAGGTCCTTAATTTTTTTCATTAATGGTCCTTAAAAGTACTTAATTTCCGTGTGCAGAAAATGTGTACGAACGCTGGATAGAATTTTAATTTGTTGGTCCGAGGCAAATTAAAAGAAATATGTATTTATATATTATATAGCATTTCCTTTTCTACTTTGTTTAAATATTATTTTTTTCTTCCTTTTTTTCAAAGAGCTGATGGTCTTTTTACTTTCTCTATTTTTGTTCTAAAAACATAAATTGAAGGAAATAGCAAGCACAGACAGCTTTCAATTGGTAAAGTGTTAAAAGCAGAGGTCTTTTGTTAGTAATAGCTGTACATTGGCACCAACAAGCGTCATCTCTTTCTTGGGGAGCAGACCTATGGGAATCCGATATAGGTGAATTAGACGTCTTAGAAAAAAATTAACTTAATTATCTTAAATTAAAACTTAATAGGGCCCCTTAAGAAAAACCTTAAAGGTTAGAGGTGTACCTGTGATAAGGTAGTGCAAGGCACAGTGGAAAACTGTATACTTGTACTGTTCCACGTGAATTCCATTGTAATAATGTTGTTATTAAAATTTCTTTATGTATAACTGTAGTTTCCTTTTTATTTGTGCACATCTTATATTTTTTAGGCTAATGAGATTATCTAAAGCATCTTAATAAGAATAATAATATGATAGCATTTTTATGCTTCTGTATGCTTTATCTCAAAATTTGAAAATTTTTGTTGCAATTGTAATGTCTTAGAAATTCGTGTGTGGCTATTAAGTAGATTTTAAGATATGTAGGTTTGAACTTTTCTAAAAACAAAGCTGAATACTAAATATTAACTCTAATCTTTGAACATTCACTCTTACAAAGTAAATTCCAATCATGTTAGATTCATTTAAAAAAAAAAGAAAGGCATAAGTATTTTCCATTAGAGTAATTTCTAATTTTTTTATTTCTTTTTTGTATTAGAATGATTTATGTGCAAGCATTTTTTGAGGTTTTTAATATTTTTTAAGTTTGCTATAATAGAAGCATTAGAACTATAAAATTATGCGTTGTGTTAGCCTCTTATATGCTAATAGCTACTTATGCATGCACCTACTACAGAAGAATGCTGACATCATATGGTTTGAAATATTTTTGAGTAACTAGCTAGAAGATGTGTGTTATTTCCATATTAGGCTATGGTGCTCATATTACGCATGAGGCCATGCACTTCGGAAAGAGTGTTGGAAAAAAAATTATCCATGAACATACATGCAGTCCTGTTAATATTTTATTTTATTCATGAGCAGTTTCTACATATCAGTAAAGTGATATTTGCTTATGAGATGTTAACCTATACAATTATTGGAATTGTTAACAAGGTTTTCGAGATAACACCAAATGATATAGTCCTTTAAGATTGAAATTCTTTTTGAGTTTTAATTTTATTCAGCAGTGAAGATTTATGTTTATAAGTTGGCAATGAATATTTATGCAAGTTGTTTATATTTTATTTATTGTTGTAATATTTTAAAGGAATTTTAATGGTAAGTCCTTTTTGGGCTTTTAGGTTGCAATTTATTTATTTTTTCATGTGTGTATACATGTTGTAGAGAATTTTAATGTATAGATGGCAGTATGTGCAGACAATGTTTGATTAATGTTTTTTCAATTCAGTATGAAAGAAACTGTGCCTTGTAATTACAGGAAATGCTCATCTTTCAAAATAAATGTGTTATTGTGTTTTGAATTCAAATTTTGTAAATTGCAGTTATAGATCATTTACTTATCAATTGCACAGATTACTAACAGGCAAGAATCCGTTCTGCGAAGGCTAAAAAAAATTCATCACATGTCAATTCATGTATTGTAATATGTAATTAAAATTCATTCTTGTAAATATGTAGTTTCTGGATGATTATGTATTTTTATTAAGATACTAATATGTATGATTTCTGTCTATAAGGGGTTAAAATAGAAGTTTTAACTTTTTTTTCTCAAATGATGCATAATTCAGCATACATACTATATATATTATGTATCATATGATCATATTCTTTAAAGATTTTTGTATATTTATTTTCAAATTTTACAATTTTTTATTACTTTTCCCTCTGTAGAAATTTTACTTTGAGGTATATGCCATGTCCTATATTTGATGCAACAGCAGCTATGAAAGTTGCACCAGAGAAAACAGAGGCTTCTCTGAGAAGGGTATACAGTTTGTTAATAATTTCAAAATGTAATACACAGTATTAAAATAATTTATAGTTTTTTTAAAGTTGTATTTCTTCACATTTCTGAATTTGTATTTTAATTCAGATTGAAGAATGTTTGAATAGAAATGTCTCACCAAAGAAGTATACCAATAGTCGAGCATTCCGCTTACAGCAAGGTTTTCTGTTGAGTTCTGCGCAGCAGGTATGAATAATAAGATTCCTTACTTAATTAGAATTTGAACGAAATTTAAGTCATTGTATTATACACTATGTACCAATAAGTATTTGGACACCTGTGTTAGAAAAGAAAAACAAAATTTATTCATATTCAATAGTTTTTAGAGCATCCACAAGTGGCAGTTACAGCTTCAACACCTGGGGCATTTTTTCCACAAGTTCTTATATGACAGCTGTTGGTATTTTCTTTTACTCTGCTTGGAAAAGACATGGAAGTCCTTTCACTGATGTTACACTGTTGTTGCATTCTTGATTCGGCAATCCAGCTCGTCTCGCAAGTTCTCAATAGAATTCAGGTCTGGGATTTAGACATGCCAGTCTGTTCTGTTAACTTCATTTTCTCATACTAATCAATGGTAGACCTCACAACATGACTGCTGCCATTATCGTCCTGAAAGTAACATGGTTCCAACCTGTAAAACTTCCAAAATTTAGGAAGCACACTGTCATCCAAAATAGTTCACTAGGTTAAGTGCATCCAAACCACATCTTAAAATATCAGAGACCATGTCTTCTAAACTGTGGGCACAGTGCATTCTGGCAGGAGACTTTATCCAGACCCTGCCAGTCGAACGGCATACGACTAACCTTGATTCGTCGCTCCATAAAATCCATTTCCACTAATCTGATTCGCTGTTCACATGCTTTGCACCACATTAATCGAGCAGCGAAGTTGAGTTTTGTGTTCAAAGGTTTATGAGTGGCAGCAGGACCATGAAAAGGAGCAGATGCGCTTGCTGACAGATGGTATTCATTGAAGCAACACTCCCAGATTTCAAAGCAACACTCCCAGATGTCAAAGCAACACTCCCAGATGTTGAAGCAACACTCCCAGATACTCCAGATGCCTCTTGGAGTATGTTGGCCATCACTTGGATGCAGTTCTTAAGAATTTCTTTGGACAGCACTTGTTGTTCTATATCTCTCAGTTTCGTGGGACTGCCAACTCAGGGCACATTCCAACAATCACTGCTTACCTTCTACTGAATCGCATAGACCACTGTCAATTTTGGGTAATTCAGCTCATTAGATATGCCCCTTAAGGACTACTTATTTCCGTGATACCCGACGATTTGAAATCAAATAACTCTGCACTTTGTGCAGAGTTATTTGATTTCAAGAATACTGCATACGACTTACGGCAGTGTTGTTTCCTATACGATATTTAATGACAGAGAGTATGACTTTTATCAGAACAGCAGATATCGGCATTTGAATGGGTGTCCAAATACTTATTGGTAGACAAATTATTCATGTGTCATGAGCATGCTTGCTCCAAAATATAGTATATTGGTCATATTTTATTATTACAAATATTTATACGATAAAGGTATGTACTGAATTGCTTTTTTGTTGTTGTAGTTTTGTGATTTAAAATTCTACTAAATATCTTTTATATGCTTTGTATGTTAATTTTAATTTCTAAAACAAGTTTTATGCTTTTAATTTTATAACAGAAAATTTATTAAAATCATTTAAGCTCAGTGCTTAAAAGTAGTTAATTTACGTTTGTTGTGAATAATACCTAATTCTATTGTGATATTTTGTGTAAATTTCTAAATTAAAACTGTAACTATAGGCCTAAAATCGTTTTGGGGTAAGGTGGAGTATTAAAAATAGTCATATGAATATTTCTATTTAAAGTTTTATGTTTGAAAATATTTTCTTAAATGTTATTAATGTGCAAAAGCTAGAAATTTTATATTCATTATATAGTAAAATTCCATTTCTTTTCATTAAATGAAGGTAATTCTTCAATGACTCAACAGCTCATCATGGGTCCTGGTCTTCCGTAGAATTTCATTCCATGCTTTTTACTCTTGGTGTTAGTCTTCCAGTTAATGACCTTTAAGTTAGACAAGTCTCTCTCCAGACAGTGTAGTCTTTAGAGTTTCGGTCTGCCTCTCTTTTGAGTGCCTGTTGACTTGTACATGAAATTTTTTGGTAGTTTTATTTTTGGGCATTTTGATTAGGTTAACCAGCCATCTTAATATTTGGGTGCTGATAATATTTATATCTGGATACCCATATGTCATGTAGATTTTAAGTAAAGATAACATCTTATAAAATAAAAAATTGTTGCTACTTGAAGCCTCATGAAATCAAAAGGGGTGAAAATAAGTTCTTTCCACTAGTCAAAAGAAACTGAGTTGGCAAATGGCAACTATATTACCTTGATTGACACATGTCAAGAATTTATTTAATACAGGGTGAATCTGAAGAAGTGGGCAAAATTTTAAGGGGTGAAAGAAGGCAGCTATATGAGCAATGAATGTATGGTCGAAACGCAAGCAGTGAGAAGTTAAAGGGTCATTTTCCACTGTCACATTTAAAGAATTGATACAAGAATGAGAGGAGTACTTCAGAAAACATTTTATTAACAGAACACACTCCTAGAAACTGCTCAAAAGACCTTACACCGGCTGTAATGCAAGTTTTACACTTGCGGGATTGCGGGATAGGGATTGATGCACATTTGCGAAGATGCCAGGGCATTTCCCAAATATTATTGGTAACAAGGCGATCCTGGCAACTCAGTTTCAACAGGTTCAACAGATCGGCTTCAACAGGGCCCTCATAGATTAGGCTTTTCATATGGACCCACAGGAGAACGTCCAAACATGAAAGATCCAGTGATCTTGGAGGTCAAGCTGTGGAACCACCTCGAGCAATCCATCGCCCTGGGAACTTTGCATCTGAAGTGTTCCACACATCTAAGCTGAAGTATGCAGGCGCAACATCACCCTGGAACCACATTCTTTACGTGATGGATGTTGGACATGGCAACACCTCTCATAGAAATGTATGGTACAATTCGCCATCCAGACGATTTCGTAGGAGGCATGGAACAACCAAAATGGTCATAGAGGATCCCTGCCCAAACATTTATGGGGATCCGTATGTGGAACAAATGAGGATATGTGGCATGTGGGTTCATAGATGCTCATGTGTGTGAGTTGTGGGTATTAAACACACCCTGATGGGTAAAAGTGCACTCATCCGTAAACAGAGCATGTGTACTGAAATCTGGCAGATGACGGAGGTACCAACAAGCGAAATCAACACATAGCTGATACTGCGCTGATGACAACGCTTGAACCTTCTGTTTGCGATAGGGGTGCATTCCTTCCTGCTGTAGCATACGGCAAACCATCATTTGGGACACGTTTACAACGTAGGAAATCACTTGTGTGCTACATTGTGGTTTATCTTTCACCCTACACAAAATGTCTTCTTCAAGTTGCAGTGTCTTGATGCTCCTTTCACACCCTGGGTCTTGCTTGGCTGTGGTGAAGGATCCCATTTCACACAGTTTCCGATGCAAATGCTTGAATGGTTTCTGATTTGAAGTGTGTCTCATCGGAAACTGGTTCCATTAAAGTCTCTGTGCCTCATTTCTATTCCTGTTTGCCACACCATACACAAAGTGCATATCAGCCATTTTGTGGTTCGTAAAACCGGCAGTCCACAGTAGAAAATGCCGCTGAGTGTGAGGATCGACCCTTTTATATTATTGACAACACCACATAGCGACTCACTGTTTGTGTTCCGACTATACATTCTATGATAAATATTGCTTGTATAGCTAGCTGCCTTTTATCACCCCCTGAAGTTTTGCCCACAGATTCACCGTATATATATATATAGGCTTGGCACGGTCTTTGCTGTTGTTACTAATAGCACTTTGAAGTTAGTGAGTTTATGAGTTAATAGCTTTGTCTGATTTATCATCTTATAAAATGCATAATGAAATATTTTGGAATTTTCTGAATAGTATCAAAGAGATGGAAACTGAAGTCAAATATTTTAGGTTTGTTGCAGTCTTTCTGATATAGGAACATTTTAAAATCAAGAACTTCCTCTTATTCCAAGAAGCAAGGTGGGGAACCATAGCATGTAGTTTTAACATCTGCCCCTTCCTCGATCAAAATAATAATTAGATTTTATTTAATGAGACTAGTTGGTATATTTATTTATTTATTACTTTTTAAAATGAAATGTTTGTATGATTTTCTGTTGTATGATGTTTGTATGATAGTTCTGCATTTTAGCAGAATGTTTGGTTCATAGAATTTGGAATCTCTTCATCTCCTCCCCCCCCTTTTTTTTTTTGCAAGAATAAGTATTTTTTCCCTTATTAAAAAATTGATTTAAAAATTTTTTTTATTTATGTATCATGCATGTATGAGTAAATATCTGGAAAGTTCTGTGGTTTTTTGATGATAAATGCAAATGGGGCAGTGCTGAAACATAAACTTTCATTGAATCACATAAGCATCATTCTATTCTATGACTTTTTGCCATCCCTTACTCAGGTGGAAAATTCTTTTTTAGAAAAAGTCATTAGGTTTATTTGTAAAGTTATCAACGTGCTGTTGGACAGTCTTCAAAGAAGTGAACTACAGTCCATTCAGAGAATTTTGAAGTGACCTGAAGAAATGAAAATCCGAAAGAGCAAGGTGTAGTAAATATCAAGAGTTACACAATATCTCAGCCATAAGCTTTTATTTGACATTCACTGAAATGTAGGGCTGTGGGCATTTTCATGATTTAAAGATAACACCATGAAGATTGGTCGGTTCTGTGCGCTTTATTTATTTATTTATTTATTTATTTCTACTTTAAAGTTTCCATTTGGTAACATTATTTTTCCAAATTTAATGTCAAATTTGGTTTCAATAATTCAGTGTATTATCACTTTATAGTCGCACCCTTCACACAGCATTACTTTTTTAGGCTGCAGCCTCCCTCTCAGTGTTTCTAAAGCAGGTTCTTTTGACTTAAATGCATGATCTTTTTCTTGTAACATTAGTGTATAGTATCCACTCTTCATCTCCAATAATAAGCCATATGAAAAAAGGAACTTTTTAATTTTTTTCTCAGCAAAGAATCGCATGCTGAAGCTCAAGCAAGCATGAAATTAATATTAAAGTATAAGATACACATACATCTAACAACGTACATACTCATTCTTCACCAAATGATCATGTACTGAACAGTTTGGAATATTTATTCTGACATACAGTTTCTGAACTATGTATTTTTCCAGTGATAGCTTCTTTTAATAGAGCGTTGTTTACAGAGAATGGACATCCAAAAGAGGCATCAACTTTGAGGTTGAAATTTCCAGGTGTAAATTTCTCAAACTACTTTCGAACTGTGTCATCAGAAACAGTACTTTTTCCATACCTAGCATAAATTTTATAGGCAGTCTGACTAACATCCATTCTTAGCGAAGAAAAAAAAAAAAAATATGTCACCATACGTGGTAGAATTATGTAGTGTGAGCTGAAAAGATCATATTTAAATAATTGCTTTGATCAAGGGGTTTCCACATCAGCAGTAGCAAAATAATTAGCAGAAAATGCATTTCAGTATGAAAAACTGCCGAACTTTTGGAAGGGCCCAACGTTGTTAAGTATTAAAAAAATATCAGTTAAAATTTTTGATTTAGTTGCATGTTTACAGAATACTTTATCTTAGCTTTTAAATTTCAAACTAGAACATTAATCATCATTAATCATCATATTGCATATTTTACTTTCTTTCAGTCATCGTTTCTTTATTTGTAACTGTCATTATCTCAACAGTTTTTGAGACAGATTTTAAGACACGTGTTTAGAGCAGATGTTTTCGTAACAGTAAATGTTTTTAAACAGTAACACAACAGTAACTGATACATCTTGTTTCAGACTGTTGATCGGCTAATGGTGCACCTCCAAGATTCTGTAAATAATATGAAAAAAGTAGCAGTCGATGGTGTTTCCATGAATGAAAAAGTTGAAGAAGCAGAAGGGTTTCTGAGTGATGCAAACAATGCTAAACAAGTATGTGTTATTTATGCAGATGTATTCATTGTGTAAGAACTCTTTAAGAAATGCTTCGTAATATTGTTTGTATTTGTATTAAAAAGTTATCATCATAAGTTTGGAAAGATTTCTCTAAGCACTCTATGACAGGAATAGCTGAATTATAATCAGTGCTGTGTCAGGTACTCCAGTTTGACCAGGAGGATATGCTGTACCAGAATTCCATAAGAAGCCAAAATGCTGCTGATTTTGCATCAAATCAAAAATATAGATCCAGATAGCTACAAAAATAAAAGCTGGTATGACAAGTTAAATTTTGCATATGCTATAGATCAGACTAGGGATAATGTTGTTCCTTAGGAAGGCTTATGAAGAATAATAATTTAGACATTTTTAAGTATGTGAATTGTACAAGTTAGTTAACAACAAGGTAGTTAAGATACCAAAGCAACTATAAATATATATTATTAAATTAGTAAAAAAAAATGATATTTAACCTAAATCCATAGTTCTTGAATGATAAAGTCTACAAATTCATGTAATTTCAAAATTTTTTCATACTTCTTCAAGATAAATTTTATTTGATTATCTGTTCTGTTGTGTACTGAAATAAAGCAGTGTTTTGTTTTTCTGATAGCTTTTGAAATGATTCTGAAAAAATTATGATATTTTAATGCTTGCAATTAGAATTTTTATGTTGGCTCAAGTGAATGATGATTAATGTGTACTCGTATGATTATGCAAAATTCAAATGCTCACCCTTTTATTTTAGAATGCATATATAAAGTTTATGTATTGAAAGTATATACAATTTTTTTCATTGTCAGTCAAGGGCAGAAGAAGTGATGCCAAAAAGCAGTTGACATGAAACTGTAGGGATTATTTTAAATTGTAATAGTTATTTTTAATTTGAAAACTCTTTCCTTTAAAATTCATGTTTTCTCCTACAACTCCCTGCCAGAATGAAATTTCAGTATTGTGTTTTATGTAAATGTAGTAGAACCAGTATTTAATTGGGAAGTTCAGTCACTACCATAGAAGAGCTTAGAAGAGTTCTTAGTAGAGTATATTTTGCCTTTGAACCATGTTGTTATTTTAAGCCTATCTTATTATGTACAGCCAAAGTCTTACATACCTATTAGTATTCTCCGGTGAAGTTTAATTATGGGTGACCGGCTCGTTTAGTTATCTTTGTACAGCTTTGACCAAGTTTAGCTAGTTAGAATTAGTTTAGTTTCTTATTTTCTATTTTAAGCCCAAGTGGAGGCTTTCCTGTAAGCCCAAGAAGGGGCCGACTGTCATTATCTCTGTAAGTGAATAAAAGGATATTTTAACCCTTCTTTTGACTTATATTGTATATGGTTGTAAGAAAACCAGCGAATAGTTGCTAGATAATCCGATAAAAGTTCTATTAGCCAAGGACACGTAACTTAATTTTATAAAATGTTGACCTTAAGAATTTATATAAAATTATTGCACTTAAGTACTCTAGAGATAATTATATGAATGCACTGTTTCCCATTCTTGAGTTTTGGTGGGGCTAAAAATTCATAGATAGTAACACAAAATAAGGTAATGCTTTGAAAACTTCAGATCAGACAAGTAGACCCTCTGAATTTAAGCATATAAATAAGCATAGGGAAACAAACCATTAGGCAAGCAAACCAGGATGGACCTAGCATGAATTACAAATTTTTGATGTTTCAAAATGTGATATACAGGAGTGAGTATTTCAGATGTTGACTTTGCAGTATGTTTCCCTGACCAGGGCTGTTAGTTAGAGCTTGTGTGAGGTATATAGTTTTCTAGATCGCCTGAGAGCCAGAGCACTTGGAAGTGTAATCCTAATTGGGTGACAAACTCCACTTAAGGCTAAATGCCATAGTGTGACCTATAACAAACAAGAACAGTTGCATAAAATTGTAAAAAAATAAACTTTGCAGATAGAGTTCAAGAGTACACAAGTAAAAAAGTGGACCTTCAAAATCTTGAAGCGTAAGAGACTACCATGGCAATTCTGAATACTTTTTAATGACAGTATTTTCTTTGAAAATAAGAATATTATTCCAACAAATAAGAACAACACTTTTAATTGAAAGGTGGCCAGTAGCAACAGCTTTTTCTAAGATCAGTTAAAATAGTGTTTTTGTCTTTATTCCAGCAATTCCATGCCAATTTCCATGAATAAGGACCAAATAAAGCTAAATCTTACATATTTCACAGAAGTATCAAATTAGCACATATATCAGTTTGTCGAGAATTGCTTGGTATCTGTTAGCAGTTTGTTGTGAACTACAAGTTCGTGCATTATTGGGAACTACAGGTAGAAGAAATGAGCAATGTATTATAAAAACAAGTATAATAAGTAGCAGATGCAGCTGAATAAGTGAAAATATTTCAAGGAGAATGTGGATATGAAGCAGCTCCTTCTTAGCACATGAAATTGTAAAGTTCTTCAAAGCATTCTCGAGGTAAACTTGTTATTCAACTGACCAGTAAATTTCACCATTGATTTACAAATGAACTGCTTGGCTGTGCGACTCATACACTGTAGCATCGCCTCCAGAAACTTCTGGAAGAGTCTGTCATAGGGCTTCAAAAATTGTTGCCAAGGTCTGACAGAAACAAAATTGCATACATCTTGAATTCTAATAGAGCTGTTTTTACAATTACAGTGTTATTGCACTTACAATTAAAAGACCTTCAAATATAAAATATGTGGCCCCAAATTAGAAAAATGAATTCAGAAAGTATCAACCTAAAGATAAAATAATGCAAAACACCACAGTAATATAGAAAACAAAAATATAGTCAGAAAGGGTTCAGATATTTATGGCAATATTGTATGTGTGTATATATATGTGTGTGTGTGTAAGTTATAAAAAAATACGATAGCTGCTTTAAAAATAATTGGCAACCTCAAAATTAAGGTTTCTACATTTGGTGCTCTTCCCCTAAATTCATCCATTCTCCCAAATTTGAGATCCTTCCATGATTATATAACAACCTAAAATTAACCAATCGTAGCTTAGAGTACTTTCTGCATGTACTTAGTATAAATAAACTGCATCATCATCTTCTCCTAGCTTCCAGCATGCTAACATCCATGCTGCTTTGCTTGTCCATCTAAAATGACATTGCCCCATTAATCTGTGTATATAAAGAAATTATTGTAATTGTTTATGATAAAAAAATATATATTCTATGAAGAATTATTCTAATGTACCTGGAAATAAAGATGGCAATTAGCTGAATTTGGTTTAATATCAACATCGCTCCATCTTTCCGTTTTGTTATCACGACTGTGCATCAAAAATATTACATATATATATATATATATTAAATATATATTTTTCCCTCTGCATATGGTAAATTTCTCTGTAGTACATTATATGAATCTTTCTAGCTTTGTTCATACATTTTGCTATATCTGTCTAATGAAAAGAATGAAACATATATTTTGCACGTATTAAAATTGCGACTCCTTTATACTCATAATTTGATTTTAATTAGTTTTTTTTTTGTAGAAATATTTATGTATTATTATAAATTAATATATGTTTAACTTACCAATTAACTTTGTGGATAGCTGTTAACAAGGTTACACGAAGTTGTCTTGCAACAAGAAGAATCTGGTAATCCTGTTGAAACAAGACTTCAGGACTTCGTGCAGGAACTGTGGGATACTGTAGAAAGTCATCTCATGGTAAATTTTATTATTTGGCATTACAAAAATTGAAACATTATATTCTGAGGCGTATCGTAAAATTATACTGTGCTGGAGTTAAAACTATTAATTTTGCAAATTATAACCAAAAGAGCTATAACTTATCACAAGGCCGGTATAGATTTATCAAAATTCATATAAAGCAATATATTTCAAACTAAATGAAGATTTTTAAATATGGTAACCTCAATTAAAAAATAAGAATAAGCTAAAGGTAAAATATATTTGTAATAAAGCATGTATCTGAAACTATTTATTTAAATATAATTTGCTTAATTTTTGATATTAACAAAGTTGTAACAACTATATGAAAACTTAGACAAGCTGAAACTGTATTATTTTTATATAAAATTAACTAAGAATTTTAAAAAAATTCTAACACAATTAATTGTTTCTCACTAACAGACAGGTTTTTATGTTTGTTTAATTATTACTGAAAGAATATAATTATAAATAAAGACTGTGGCAAAGTACATGTTCATAAACTTAAAGCAGGAAAACTTCCTCCCATTATTGATTATAATTGTTGTGGTTAAATGCAATTCTTTTGATGTTCATGCAGGAATAAATTTTAAAATATGGACAATTTGGCTTTGTAAAAAACATCAGTAACATATTAATGGCTGCTTTAGGTTAGTGAAATATTCTTAAAAAATTACATATATTCTAGCATTTGGAGGAAGAAGTAACTAAACATTTATGTTTAATTACTTCTCCCTCCAAAGTGAAGAGTGGCTTCTCCTTGTTGTACATACATAATGCATTATGAAATATTTGAAGTTTTTTTCATATATATATATATATTGGTGATTCTGAGATGCTAGTGATTTATCAAAATATATTTTAATATTAAGACTGTTATTTCTATTGTATCTCCTCCATTCCTGATTCTATGTATTTAGTATAAAATTCCCTTATTCTTCTCAGCTATGCAGAGTTACTCTGTTAATTTAATGCTTTTAAGTTTCAATGCCTTATAATAGGTCCTGAAAGTATTTTGCATAAATACTAATAAAAGATAGCTAAGAAATAAAAGATGCATCTAAATAAAAGTTCAAAAAATAAATAAACACAAAAGAGAAAGCAGGGCCAAAAATTTAAATTGATATTTGATTTTTTTAAATAACTTATTAATTCATTAAATGATAATAAAGGAAATAACAAAATTATTTTTAAAATTGTATATCAAATGTTTTGATTTACATATTGTAAATTAAATGTTTTGATTTTATTGAATTTGTTTAATGCTACACAAAATAATTTAATTATTTTGTGTAGCATTTAAATTTAATGTTGTTAAGTAAATTTTTTTTAATATTTTGTTTTTCCTATCAGTGAAGTTTTTTATTAAGAAATTAGAATGAAAATAATTATCCATAAATGCTTTTTGCAAATACTTTCATTCATAAAAACAATTTTTAAACATCATGTAATGTGATTATTTTTAAATAATTTCTTAAATTGTGTTCATTCTGTGTAAAATTAGAAGTTAATGGTTCCAAATACTTTAATATTACTATAAATATAAGATGCTATATTCACAATAAATGCATATTGTATATAAAATGTTATAAATGCAACACACTATAATACTATAAATATAACTCTGTATTCATTGTTAATATGTGATATAATTGTGAATATATAGTCTGGTGGCAGTAAAAATTAAACATAAAGTAAATTCATTATTTTTTCCAGTGTACATAGTTTTCTAGATCACCTGAGAGCCTTTTTTATTAGATGTAAAGATGAATATATAAATAAATACATATACCTGTTAAAGTTTGGTTCTGATATAAAACACAAATGAAATATTGCTGTTGATTGAAAAAAGTAATAAATGATTCTAAATATGAATGTTGTATTTTATGCAAATAACAATATGCAGAAATTTATTAAGTGTTCCTAAATGTTCTGTCACAATGTATGCAACTTATTGTTACATAATTTATGTATTATGTCATTCAAATTTTCATTGGTGTATTTATATTCATCATACATTTTATAATTGATTCTAGCCTGATAAAAAGATATCAGAGTGGCATATATATTTATTGTATTTTGTATTCTTCCTAGTAGCATCATAATTTAAAAATTAGCTCATTTTGAAATCTTTTTATAGGGAACAGCTTCTTGCATGTTAAAATGCGTAGAGGACCAGTGTCCTAATATCATTGGAGATGATGTAAGTTGTACATTATTTCTATAATTTCTGTTCAGAAATACTATCTTTTTGTAATTATAGCCTATTATTAAAGTACGATGATTAACATATTTCATTTCCCAAACAATGCATAAGGACTTTAAAGTGATATGCAGCAAGATATGTTTCATTTAAGCACGCTTAAACAATTAAGGTAAATAAGTTTAGCTGTAGCATTAAAAACATTAGGTACTACATAGTAATAACTTAATGATAATGTGTGTAGTTTTATTTAAATAAGTTGTGTAAACTATTTCCCCAAATTCTGAAGAATGAAAGCAGAACTATTTTTGCAATTTTAATTCTTAGAAACAAATAGTGGATATTTTTAATAATCATACTCTTAAAGTGTATCAAATAATATAAGAACCCAATATTAATAAAAGTATTTTGTTTGGAGTATTTATTCTCTACAATAATTAAACATTAACAAACAAATTAATAAATCTTATTATTAAACAGTGAAAGATAAAAGCATTCAAGTAGTCTAATTTTGTAAATAGTAAAAAATTATTTGAGTGATATTCGCAGCCATTAGATTTGAAGATTTATGCAAACTATAGGAAAAGCTGAATGTGATAAAATGTGAAGTTATGTGGAAGAGATACATACCAATTTGTAATTAAATTTAGGTAAAATTAATGATATATAAAAGCTTAAAAAAAAGTAAAAGAAAGAAGAAAAGCTAAACAAATAAAACCTATTTTAAGCTGCTTTAAAAACTTGAGAGTAGATCTGAGCAAAAGGCATCCTAACCATAGACAGGGAGAGAGGGATACCACTAATTTGTTCAGTTATATTATAACTGCTTTTGGCTTTATGAGTAAGGATGATCTGGAATAATCTGTTATCACTATAAAATCTTTATTAATTCCTAGGTAGAAAAATTTTAACATAAATGAAGACGTTAGCACAATCTGATTTATGCCACATTTTAAAGTGATTCAGATCCAAGATAAGCTTGTTTAAAAACTGCGACTGTATTGTTCACTGACTGCTGATCATGAAGCAAATATCTTTGAAATATTTCTTATTTTTAAAAAACAAGAAAAGATTTTATAAAAATTATCATTAAGTAATTTATGATCTTTAAAATAGGTTTTTCAGCCTGTCTTTAAAATTATGTGGTACAAAATCCAAAATCTGGATTTGTTCAGATTTTGGCAATTTCAGAAATTTTCCAGTTTGCGATCATTAGTTTAAATTTAGCACTATGATGATGATAAAGATTATAAAATCATAACTATGGAAAAGTTTTTGTGAAGTAATGAAGCATTCATGAATTTACATAGTTAAAATTTACAAAAAGAAAAAATAATAAGCTCAATATTTGTTTGTCTGCTTTATGAAACATTTTTTTCAATGTAAGTTTTTTAAGCTGTTTTATTTTCTGTGCTTATTCTTTCTCTGTAATTTTGTAGATAGACATAATTTCTAGTTCAGTTACAAAGTTCTGTGATTGTCATGTCAAAAATTCCCACTGTCTGTCAAGAATCATCGGTCTGTCATGACCGATGATTCTGACTTCTTTTTGTCCATTATTTGTCATCATTCATAAAATAGTATTTTTAATGCTTTTATTCATAGTAACTGTATTTTTGCATACACACACATTTCTTATTAAAATTTTCTTTTTTTTTTTTAAACCATTCAGCGCATTTTGCATGACCTCTTTTGCTATTTTTCTCTGCATCTCGCATGCAGGCGCTGGCATCATCACTATCGATAGAGAGCATTAGTGCCTCACACCTCCCCATTGAAGTAGGTGCTGAATCGGTGTGATTAAAAAAAAAAATATACAAAATCAACTAAATGAACAACATCAGAAAAAATTAATGAATGAATACAAACATACATATTTAATTGAGATTTCGATACTCTCTATTTATTATGTTACCTAATAGTAAAATAATTCCAGGAAATTATTCATAATTTTCATAAAGGTTCTAATGTCTTTCCAGTAAGTAGCTAGTAATCAACTTAAAACATCAACATTTAAATTACTTTTCCCACACTGGTAGCTGACACTGATGTTGTACCTTTCCAGTACAGGGAACATCTCTGAATTCAACACTTTGAGGTAATAATTTTTTTTAGATAACTCAATTGGTTGTGATAACTCACTCTTTGGACTTAAGATTGGTATATGTAAGTTTCAAAATTTCTTAAAGCAAAGATAATAGCATACACTTCTTTTTCTATAGTAGCATACTTTCTTTGTATTGTGTCATTTTCTTACTCACAAAGGCAATTGGTCACTCAGTTCCATCTTCATCAGTTTGAGCAAGACGAGCTCCAACGCAAAACATCTATGAAGATAGTAAAAGGGGTTTGAAAATTTGGAGCAGCACAATCAGGAGTTTCACGGATAGCTTTTTTTTTTAGTTTCTGTGAAACGTTACAATGTTTCTTTTTTTTCCCTTAACGTTACAAGGAGCTTTGTTCATTGTAAGCTCTCTAAGGAAGTGCTATTTGTGCAAGTTCTGGGACATAACATTGGAAGTAGTGAGTTGCGCACCTCCAACTTGCACGCAACCAAGAGGTGACTGGAAAAATGACAGAGTCTTGCTAAGGGTTTAAGTCCCTTTTTATTCAACTTACGAAGTTACAATTGCTTGCTCTTGACGCTCACAAACTACGCCGACTCGGCGGTAAAATAAAAATAAGAACCTCAAAAGAAAATACTAACAAGACTCTAACTACGAGGCTCTCTAAAAGTAACTAACCTCACCGCATTTTACAATATCGCTGCTAATTCAGCAAACTTTGGATATCACGTTGAACAATTAACAATTCTCCAAGGCAAGCACACAGGCTGAAATGCTGGGTTCTTCAATTTCTGGCTAACTACCTCCGCGCTCGTGAAGTAAGAACAGCACACCTCGAACTCCTTTCCTTTCTATTTAGCAGAATACTTTCGCTGATAATTTGAATCCTTGCGCGTTCTGCTAAAATTTACATACTCTGGCATTGGCAGTTCCAGGGGAAAGTAAGGCTTGACAGGAAAGATAGTTTAAACTTAAAATAAATGTTAGTTAAAATAAATATAAACCCTACATTTGCCGCTGCCAGAATTTGGAAAACTTGGAAGCAGGTCCTACAAACGACCTGTTGAAAAGTTTCTATAATTCTGAACTAACTCTCAAGAGCCTCGTTTACACAAAAAAAATCTTATGTAACAAATTGTATACTAAATTTCTGTCGATACTTATAAATCTCTCTTCTTACAGCAACTTTTCCTGGACTTCATCAATCAATCTTGTTCTTTTCCTTCCAGCATCTGGAAGGAATAAGTATCAGTATCTTTCTAAATACATTATAATTTACACTTTCTTGACACTGAATAAATTTTTTGTTTTTAACAATTCGTTTTCCTTAGTTATTGCTTAATTCACATTCATTCAATTTTTCAAGCATTAATTTAACTTTACCCTGGCTCTCCACCATGTGTGGTGTCAAACGGGAATATTCGTGTTTTAGTCTTACAACGCTTCCCCTAACCACGATGATTTGTTAGAATTCAACGACCAAATAGACACACCTTACTCGACATTCTACAACTCGATGAGCTACTTTAACATTCTTAATAATTCAAGTGTAGGTGGAGAACCCTACAAAACACATTCATTCTGACTTCCCCCTCATTCATCTTTAAACGTGCAGGCTTTCGCTCTAAAGCATGACTTTATCTACAGTTTAATACTTAAATTTTGAATTCATTGCTTTTGAGCATTTTACTTTTAGCATCTAAAATTTTATGCTTCTAGACTAAATTTTACTTTTACATAACATTCAAGTATTTACGTACATTTACAAAATTTTAATACATATGATTTTTACAATTTACCATAAAATGAATAAGAGAAAATAAATTTTTACTTTACTCATTCTTCGCCAAGCTGGTGGCACTGAAACTAAAATTCTTATTAATACAAGAATACGAAGTTATTTTTATCTTCGGCCAAATTTTGGCTTTAACATAACAGAATTAGTCTTTCGACCAACAGAAAATGCTTGTTCTTAGCTTAAAGAAAATAATACTTTTGCCTTAGCTAAATAACGTAAAACAAAACTAAGTCTCAACCGAGACATATTGACTTTCGTCAAAACATAGAACTTCGTACTTATGCATAACATTTCGGAACAAAAGAAAAAAAAAAATTTATAGAAGATTTTAACTTATCTTTGAGTTTTCGATGATTGAAACTCCGTCATTCTTTTCTGGCAATATTGTTTCCATGTTATAGGTTTCATGGACGTCAATCTTCTCCTTACTGACCTCCGAGTGTCGTCCACATTAGTTTTTCTTTTGCGTCCTCTGCATGCTGGCCTCTTGGCGGAGTAATCGTCGGGTTGTTGTCGTTTCCTTCCGTTTTTCCCCTTGGACGGCTGGTCTTGACGTCCTCCGGTCTGGAGTCCTTCTTGAATTTCTTCTGTTGTTCCTGGTATTTTTTCGTTCCTCCTGCTGCCGTTTTCAGTTTCTCGGAACGGCGGCCTTGCTTGCACCTGACTCTCTGGCCCTGGGAGCGTTCTCCTTGATGTATAATTTCTCCTGCGATACGTTGTAGGTGGTGTTTTCCTCTTTACCACGGTTTTTCTTTACGCGGTGCATCTGCTTTCTTGTTTTTCTTAAATGCTGGAGTTTGAAAGTTTTCATTTTTCCTTTTTTGTACCGTCGTCCGGGTTGTAGAAGGGCTAGGTCTCTCTTCAGTTCTCTGCTTTCTTGGGTGGTGGAACGTGTTGTTATTTCTCTGGACCTTCTACTTCGTTTAGGCTTGAGTCCTGCAAGAAACTTTTAAGGATTTCAAAATCATTTGGATTATATAGTATTTTTTCACCTGGTCAGGGACTTGCTTTACAGATCTTCCCCTCTCTCGTTCTTAAGATACAATACGACTCCTTTGATTTCCTGAATTACATAGGGCCTTCAAATTTTGAGCTATCTTTGCAGTAAAATTGTCTGGGGCACTTGATAAAGAAAA